ACATGTCTGGAGACATAGATTCTACCACTGGAACTCAGGCACTTATATCCCTTCTGCGTGTCACCATAGCCTAGAAATACACATCTTTGAGTATGGAAACTGAATTTATGCTTTTGGTAGGTAGGGTCTAAGACACGGATAACAGGCACAGCCAAAGGTTTTAAGGAGTTTGTAATCAAAATTTCTTGCATACAGCATTTGAAATGGTGACTTGTGGTTAAGTACTGGAGTTGGTAGTCTGTTGATTAGATAGGTGGCTGATTTGAATGATTCCCACCAATAGTGTAGAGGCATTTTTGCTTGAGCCAACAGAGTTAGCCCTGTTTCTGTAATGTGTCTGTGTTTTCGCTCAGCTCTACCGTTTTGTACTGAGGTGTAAGGGCAGGTGTGTCTAAGTTCAATTCCAGAATCTGATACAATTTTGTTGAAGTTTCTAAACTCTCCTCCCCAGTCAGATGGTACTGCCTTAATCCTTTTTTCAAACATGTTTTCTACCAGGGTTTTGAATTGGGTGAAGATACCTGTATCCAGAGGTAGAAACCACAGGTGCTGGTCCCCAACGTCTGTGTGAACTAAGTCTAGGAGGTTTGATGCATGTGAAGTGGATGAATTGAATGGTAGTGCACGACATTTACCAAATTGGCAAGATTCACAGAAAGACGGAATTTCATTAACTTGAGTTGACTCATTACAGGACTTTAGCACTTGACTCAAAACATGGTTTGAAGGGTTGCCTAATCTCCTATGCCACAGATCAACTTCTGTATCTGCTACCCTTTTGTTTGACTCAGCACACTTAGACATCACTGTGAGACAGTTGGGATTATTTATGCGGTGTGAATTTTTGGCTGTGAGTTCAGATTTGGGGCTTGGTGATCTCAGTTGATATAGTCCATCCTTAAGCACTCCCTCCAGCAGCATCTCCTTGGTTTGCAAGTCCTTAACAACATAGCAGTTAGAGTAAAATTCCATGTAGACATTGTTATCATTTGTAAATTGTGAAACACTCATTAAGTTTTTCTTTATTGCAGGTACGTGTAGTAGTTTATTGAGTGCAAGAGGTCTATCATTTAATGAGGGAATATCTCCCCTGCCAATATGTGAGATATGTAAAGAGCTTCTGTTACCAACTAATAGTTTCTCCTTACCGTTATATTTCTTAGCCATAGTCAGTTTACCTTGGTTTGCTGTTACATGGTTGCTTGCACCTGAATCTGCAAACCATGTTTGGTCATCAAGGACTCCAGGTGAAGCCACAAATGCAGTAGGATTCGAGCCACCACTTTGATGACTGGGGTTGATTGGTCTGCTATCCATGTATCTGTCGTCATATCTGTTGAAACACCAACTTGCTGAGTGATTACCCAGTCCACAGATCTGGCAAGGTCCCTTGTTTTCAGGTTGTCTGACTATCCTTCCTCTTCCTCTTGTCCTTCCTCTGAAGTTCATAGATCTGCCATTGTTAATTCCTCTAACTAATCTGCTATTTCTTTGTCCTGATCTTTGAGTGAGCTGCACACTCGATTGACTTATATTGAAAGACGAAAAGCTATTTCTAACTTGATTCAGATAATCAAGCCTGCTTTCGAAGGTCATTAGCACTGATGATAGTTCGTACCATGATATGCTTTCTCTGCCACTTATCTGTACAACAATAGGTGTGTACTCTTCATCCAAACCTGATAGGACTTGGGTTACAAGATCACTGTGATCTATTTTCTTCCCAGCTACTTGAAGATTGTCAGTTAGCTGTTTGATAGAAGTGAGATATTGATCCATGGTCATGTAGCCTTTTCTTATTCTCTGCAGCTCTCCAGTAAGAAAGACTATTCTGGATTTGTTGAGAATGCCATAGCATTCTTCGACTGCAGTCCATAAGGCATTTGAGCTGGTGCATCCCATCACCCTCATTGCCACTTCTGGAGTCATTGAGGAGTATAACCAGCCCAACAACAGTTGATCAGCTGAGTTCCATTTGTGGTATTCAGTGTTCTGAACCATCTCCACTGCTTCTCCTCCGCTGACTGTGGTTTGTGTTGTTAGAAATTCTGGTGGGCAGGTTTCGTGCCAAGCAGATAACCCTCGAGATTATGTCCTTTAATCACTGGCATAATCATGTTTTTCCAGAGTAGATAGTTGTTTCTATCTAGTTTAATGGGTGGAGTTTGAGTAAGATTAATCCCAAACTGTGAGAATTGATTTGTGCCAACTTGGTTGGAGGTAGTGAAGCTGGGAGCAGATTGATTGCTTGTATCGGCATTAGCCATTTTAGCTCTGATACCAAGTAANNNCCATTTTAGCTCTGATACCAAGTAAGAATTCTGAGTAAAAGATTAATTTTCACTACACTTGAAGTGTAACAATATGGCCTATATTTATACAAGAAACTCTATGCTTACAAATATATACAAAAAAGGAATATTCCTATTAACAGTAATGTGCAACCCGTTGGCAGACAACATCCCTGATGATCAGCTGCTATTTTCATTCCACTCAATTTGTTATGCAATACCAGCAGCATAGCAGCATCACGTTGGCTGTATAATTTCAACTTGCCGAGTTAGCGTTGCTCCTAATGTTGCTACAGTTAATTTCCACAAATCTTTTAAGTAAGTGTTCTAAGAAGCATGTACACAGAGCATACTACAAAAAATCTTTTATCCCTTTTGGTGATTGATGAGAAACGTAAAAAAATACATTGTTGGTATGTGCTAACATGTGCAAAGAAAGGAAAAACAAAAAAATTACAGGACCAAATATAGCTAAACCAATAGCAAGAAAGAGGGAAAGTTACTATCCTGCCGGGTGATTTCTTTAACAGGCAAGCAAGCAAAAAAGCACCATAGAGAAAATAGCACAGGAAAAAGAGGAAACTGAGATTTATTATCGTAGATGGAATTCATGTAAGATTAAATTCAAAATATCGACAAAATAATTTCACAAAGGAGAATATCAGCTTTCCCTATATTTACGTGGACGTTATCATCAACTTTGACATTCCGGAATCTTGACGTCTTCAGACATGGGGGCACCGCTAAGTAAGGAATCTTGCCCAGCTGTGGTTGTGGCTAATTCCATCTCCAAGTTTGAAATAGTCTTATCCAGAGTCCTGCATTTTTTATGGCCATGACTTTGAAAATTTTATCAATACTTAAATTGAATTATAACCTAATTCAAGACAAGGAGCTTACTGTATCGCATCATCTTTGAAACTTCGCCTAATATATCTTTCGGTTGACGTTTTACATCCTTCTGACAGAAGAAAAATAAGTAAATTAATTTTCACTGGAACTCTACCCAGGTTTCTGTTCATATACATCAAGTTTATAGCACCTAGGCTGATTCATATAGATGGAACTTAGTAGTGATGATGAATTTATTGGAATTT